AAAATCAGTGCAGCAGGACAACGGCTATGCTATATCAGTCAAGTAATATTTACATTCCATATTTGTGTACATAATTATAGGCACCAGATATGTTTCTACATTTGTATATATATCAGTTTCTTGTACAGAATGAATCAAGGGAATACAATTGAGTATTTTCCAATACACCATCCTCTTCTTCTTTACTTCTACACTTATTACATTGGCAAGTTAGGTATTTAGATAATAGTAAAACTATATGAGAAAAGAGGTTAGGCATAGGTTCTACTTCAAGTCTCAAAAATTTAAAAATAAAAAGAAAGATTAAAACTTTGTTTAGTATGATTGTGATTTTTTATTTTTGACTTTAGTTTTCAAATTTTAAACAATTAAAATTAACAATTAAAAACCAGAATTTAAAATTAAAATTACTAAATTATTGAGTATAAAATTCTAAAACAAATATCAAAAACTCTAAATTTAATTAATTTACAAAATTTTTTAATTTTATTTTAAGATTTTTAAATATTTAAAGACTAAAACAAAAAATTTAAAACCACAACTATACTAAATTCAAATTACAAGAAAAGAATGTCAAATATCTTACCTTAAATCTTATCATACAGACTACAAAACAAATTTTAAGATGGTATTGAAATATTTCAATTCTACTTTATACCCACCAGGTTGGGCTCCATTCGATGGGAATTGTCGGACTGAAAAAGTAATATGAGGGGAATCACTGAAAGGAGGCCCAAATATTGGTACCTTTAAGCGGACTGGGTATCGACTATCGAGTCATCACTGATCCAATTAAGGCCCTAAAGTTCACTGTAGCAGATCTGATACAGGGGAGGGAGGAGGCTTCTTTCCAAGACCTGTGCTTGTTGTGTCTGAATTGAGTGAGTGAAGTGGGTAGTACAACTTGCATTGCGGACAATCATGCCTTTTTTGAATTCATTCGCTTGGTAAACTTTCGAGTGAGAATAACGGATCTTAAATCAATTTGAAATGGTAAACTTAATTTAATTCAGTATGTGAAACTTGATTTAGAATATCATTTAACAATTGCTACCAAAAGGTAACTCATCTTAATCGGTTAAAAACTTAAGATTTTAAATTAAAAATTATATATATTTATATTTATTGATCTTAATTGCATAATAAAAAATAATTATCTTCCATCACTTATCTCATTCCACACACATGTCATGCGACTCAAATTTAGGATTTTTTATTTTTACCAGAAAGAGATAACTATTGAATTATTTAATTCGTTGACAAAAAAAAATTATCATATTTAAATCTTAAATCAAGTGAAAAGATTATCTTTTTTTTTTTATATAATTCATCATCGTATGTAAAAAGCCAATATTATTATAATTACAATATCATATAAAATTATAAATTTATATTCATAATATGACATAAATTTAGCGAACACATATAATATTAGAGATAAACTTTTAAATAAAAAAAATCAATTATATAATGGCACATCATATCATAATTTTTTAATATTATATGATATTATAATTATAATATTGTTTTTAAAAAAAATCACCTAACAACTAAAAAAAGTGAATAATAGGGAAAAATCACTTAATAAGGATCAATTTAATATCTTTAAAAAGTTTTAAAATCAGACCCACCTAATTCCACTAATATGATTATTATTAGTGTTAAAGTTTTTTTTTAATTTAATTTATTTTACATTTAATTAAGATATCTATGAACTAACAAGTTTTTTAAAATTGTCAATGATCTAAATAATTTAGTGATCATTTTCTTTATTAAAAGTGAAATAAAGGATAAGAGATAAAAAATGATAATCTCCCGTTACGCAACTAAGATAAAAAAAAAAAAAGAAAAAGAAAAAAAAGACTCCTTTAAAATTAAGACTAGAATTAACACTTGCCTAGTATTAAATTCAAATTTAGGATTTGTGTTTTAAGTTTCTCGAACATTGAACAAGCATGTTAAAATAAAAAATTCATTCCATCCTTTTATAATTTCTCAGAGGTTTGATCACTTCCCACTAGAAAGATCTCATTGTTGCTGTAGAACACACCAGAAAAAGCTGGGCAAACCGAACGAACTTTCATTCCTTCTACAGCCCCACGAGTTCAATAAAAGCACAGTGCCTTTTATTCCTCTCCTACCTTGAGGCTAGAGAAGAAGAGGTTAGAGAAGAAGAGAAGGAGAACCGAAAGAGTGAGGAGGAGAAGAAGGCGACAAAGAAGCTGCCATAACTGACAGGATTTACGAGGCATTAAACCTTCGGTTGAATTTGTCCAGCCATCATCAAAAGTGCTATAAATGAGCAGCACCCTCCAACACCGGGTTTTGGATACTTGAGGAGATGGGTAATTGGGTGTGGTGCGGTTTTAATTTTTTCTCCGATAAGGTGGAAGTTCTGGTTATCAATTTTCTTCAGTAAAATTAATGGCTGATGCAATTGCACACAACTATCCATTTTAATGGACGCCAGCAGCTGGGACTTTTCATACGGAGAATTTAAAGTTTTGGTTGTGCAACAGAATCAATGTCTTCGTTTCTCGTGCCCTATCGGACGTCGGCTCCACCGGCCGTGGCAGCCTTTTACGTCGGCTCCACTACCGGCCGTGGCAGCCTTTTACTGCAGCTTTATTGAGTACGCAGACTGTAGAGCATTCATAAAAAGAGGCAAGTAGTAAATTTATTGTTAGGTTTAGCAGAAAATGAATTTCTTGTTCTCCTTGCTTTATGCAATTAATTTAGAGAATTTATCAAGAGAGAGAGAGAAAAAAAAGGACGTTCTAATATTTTATGACCGTTTATGAAATTATTTAAGTATTTTTTAGCTGTAATTAATATATATTAAGTTTTACGAGAAATCAAAAAAGTTTCAGCATTAGTGTTTTGTGTATTAATTTAATTGATTAATTATTAAAATTAAAATTAAAATTTAATTTTTATGTAATTTAATAGTTAAAAACTATATTGCACCTAAATTTT